CATCACCATCATCAGACTTACTCTCCACTTTGTATCTCCCAATTCCTCACACACCGCTCTTTCACCAGACCTTCCTCCTCTCTTTAACCTCCCAGCTTGCTTTTGTTTCTTACCCCCTGGCATCCTGGACCTCAAGTAGATGCCAATTCATAGTTTCTGATTGTAGATATTGTAGATGGGATGACAGGATTCTGGAAGTGCGAGGGTTTGGTTGTGCACTCTTTGATTCTCGATCACAGTGCATGTACTGCTTCCTGTGTAGCCAGTGTAGTCATAGTCGTATAGTGCATGGAAGAAATGGCAAGGATGTGACAGGTCTAAGTATGCCAAAGCTGTGGGATTATTGACCAGCAGAATAGCCACAGATAAGCCAACCCATCACATTTCCATCACAATCCGACCACAGAGTGCCACAGAGTGCCATCCGGTGCCACCTTGCAAGGAGTATATGACCACAAAAGAGCCATTGCCGATGCAGGTCTTGCACTACAGGTGCGGCATGGTGCCGTGGGAGTCGTGTTTTGCATTAACTGTTGTCACATGTTGTCACACTAGAAAAGTGCAACACCACTCTATCGAGGAAAATGAATTGCCACTACAGTACGGCTCCTACTGCAATCCATCGATAGGGTTCTGTTTCAAACCCTCTCAAATTCAGAGTCAGACTGCCCACGGTCACAAAGCGAAGCTCTAAAACCAAACATCCCTGGGATACTTTCGACATCTTTAGACTTATTATCGATTTCATAATATTTCATAATCTCATTTTTGCATCGAGGATGCTGTGTTTCAAACTTTGCGATGGGCCTCCCTGCAAGGGCAGACATCGACGAAGAGTACCAGGGGATCCAGCCTGAGAGCTGCAGATTGTGCTGAAGAAGTGCAGATCGTTTTCTTGAAACTCCTGGCAGCTTGAAATTAAGTGTCAAGTTTGTCGGAAACCAATGAGAGATTGGTCTGTGCATTTATCATCTTTTATCTTGTTCTCCTGAGTTGAGGTGTGAAATTCTTGTTGTAGCGTTCCTGGCAGTCGTTTGAAAAGAATCATGTGTCCTGAGGTGGATCTTGATCTTCACGACCATCACCTGCGTATGGCTCTTTTGTCTACCAGCCAGATGAACCCAGTGGGTGGGTGATGCATTGTGTGCGAGCAGCATGCGGGCTGATAAAGACTATTTATCATTATCATTACGTACCTACGCACCTACGTACCTACGTACCTATGTACTCGTACCTACGCACCTACGTACCTACGTACTTATGTACCTATCTACCTACCTATCTACATCTATCTATCTATAATATCTACCTACATACCTATCTACCTACCTACCAATCTACCAACCTACCTGTCGACTGTTTACCTATCTACCTATCTATCTATTTGTGTGTCTATCTGTCTATCTACCTAGCTACCTAGCACCTAGCTAGCTACCTACCACTTTGTATCACGCAGAACACACATACAATCACACACACATTGTATTATAGTGTACGTATATATATAATACTATATGATACATTCGATAGATATATTATTATATATATATATATTAATATATATGTATAATATTGCCAAAAGATTCGCAGAGGTCAACTTGGCAGAGATCCCGAGACAGAATTTGAGAAAAGTCGAATGACTTGTGGACTTGTCTTCACAGCCTAGAGTCGAATGAGCGTTTGTCGGAAGGCCCTCAAATTCAAGAGGTTCAGTGTTGCTTTACCATCGGCAGAAACTGACCCTCGTTGCTTGTGACACACCGGCATCCTTTTCAAGTTCGAACATTTCCTCCGGTGAATCATGGTGAATCATGGTGAATCATGGTGAATCCATTCCATTCAGACTCCGTCACGGGACGAATTGGCGACCCATCCATCGCTCAGTGCTATTGTGCTGGGATGTCTTCGCCACGAGCGCGGAAGTTTGCATCATGGACTGATTGGGCATGGTGTGCCGTGTCTTGTGGATGCACTGAAGAGATGTCCAATATCTTTGCGATCGCAGACTTATCTATACCATTCCATACCTATCTCAGATATTCTCAGATAACAATAGAATACAATAGATAACAGCGGTGGTGATACCGTGCTTACATGTGGCTCCCACAGAATCGCCTTGGATTTCTGCATGGCGCTGTTGGTAGGGACGAGTAACGGCACTGATCCCTCGATCCACCCTTGCCACTGCACACTTTGCAGAATTTGCAGGATGTCACAGCGATTATATGTGTGGTTTCCTAGTCGACGTCCGGAGTGCGTTGGGATGGGGGAACATGCAACAGAATTGCCGATATTGCTGAAAGCAAGCAACACCAATCTTTCAGCATAAGTTTTAGGCTTGTGGTGGATTTCGTCATTGTCACTAGCAGTGCTTGGCTGCTGCATGATGATTCCGAACAGTTTGGAGGTTTTGAGGCTTGAAGGGCAGGAATTGCTTTGAAAGAGAACATCTCTGTAGGATCCACCCTTTTTAATTCTTTTTTCACCTGAAGGATCTTCAGAACTTTTTGCAGACACTGGGGGCCAGCTTTGATGTCTTGGACAATATGGACCTAAAGACTTGAATTTCATCTTGACTTAAAGTGTTCATCTTGCTTCACTTGTTTTAAGCTTTTCGTGTTCACGTGTGTTTGTCCCAGTTTGATTTTGTTCAAGCTTCGTTAGTTGGCCAAAGGTGACATCAGATGTTTCAACGCTGTAAACAGTGAAGGAAAAGAATCATGAATCCAGTCAGATGTAAGTATCGCCGTTATGAATTCACGCCTTGAATCTTTTTCTGCCAGGGAGTCATTTCCACTGCCACACCGGTTGGTAGTTCGTGGCAACAGCTTTGGCCCTTGACAAATTGAAAGAGCCCCAAGCACACCCAGAGCATAAGAAGCAAGCAGATGTTTTCAAAGCATCCACACGGTCTACGCCCACTTGGTATTCTAGCAGCTGATTCGTTTGCAAGGACTTGAAGTATCTTAAAGTTGCATTTTGCTTGAATTATCAGTGATATCACCTTTATTGGGGGATAAATAAAGCCAGAAGAGGCTCAGGCACTCTCAATATCTATTGCATAATGAATTGACATATGGGCGCTTTCCCGTGCAACAATGGGTCTTATTGTGGCCGGAGTTGGGTCAGCATGCAATGATTCGGAAGTGGCTGCGACCAAGTGTACTTAAGTGACAAGTGAACAATGCACATGGTCGGATCAGCACATCCAATTCGCAATGTGCTGATGCCCAGCTCACAGTTCTTTGATGTAACTGGGCCCAACACTCCGATTTTGTTTGCTGCCCACTAGGTGTTCTATGCCGGCATGTGTCTCTTCAACATAGCGCTGATGTATCTAGCCGCTAGTCCGCAACAGTGCCAGACAGACCGGTTCAGCATGTTGTCCCATGGCATCTGAGACCACATTGAACATGGTGCACTGTTTCATCAGTGCACTATCTTGATTTGTTTCATCCATGTTGCAAGTTGCATCATCCCAAGTATTGAACACCCCCATTGGGTACTCCTTGATTTTAAAGTTATTTCAAATTAGTTCCTATGCACAGGACATGCTGGGAAGGCTGTCTCATGTAGCGGCGAAGAGAGTTGAGCAGCATGAAGAGACTGCACTTGTTGAACCACTGCACCACTGTGTGTTGAGATGTGTTGAGATGTGTTGAGGTTATCGAATGGTTGCCGGATTGGACATTTCCAATGTACCTTGGAGTTGGAGACTCAGGAGACTCAGGAGAGACGCGGAGGCAAAAACGCCATTTGGACGTGAGCATCGACATAATATATTACAACATGCGCGTGTGGGTTCGAAGTCTGCATATTGGAAGTTCATCATTGAGATGTTTAGATCTGTATAGATCTGTTAGAACTCTGTTGGGGGCCCATGTGCTCTTACTGGAGGGAATCAACGTCAACCCTCAGGTCTTGGCCAAATCCTTTGGATGGCTCGCTGGCCATGTGCTGAAATGGGCTCCTTGGTCTTGCACAAAGCCGTTTTTAATTTATTTTAATTATTTTAATTGTAATATATATATATTATATATATTATATGTATATATATGTGTTTTTACGCATGTGCTGGAGTTTTGTGTATGGCATGTGAGCGCGAGATGTTTCTTTCTTTTATCTATAAGAGGAACATTGACAGAGATGGTGTTCAATCCAAAATAGGTCCATTAGATCATTAATACAGAATACCAAAATTACAGTATATATGCATAATATATCACTTGTATGTTGTTTTACTAGGTCCAACCCAAGAATTATTCGTGGTACCAAACCTCGACACAATATGCACAAACAACAACAAGGTCAGTTGACTCAGATTATTCCAAGCATCAAGGGCGGAGTTACCGACTAAGGCAACTTCGTTAGCGCTTCCGCCAAGATTGAGAATGTTCTTAATCAGCTTGCTGAAACATGGTTGAGTAAGCAGAGAGGGAGATTCTTTGGCCGAGAAACCGCCACGGGTTTGGAGCTTTGCTATAGTTGCTGGCATTTAAATGCATTCAACTCTTTTGTTCAGTGATCGGGCCATGAAAGAAGACTCTGTACTTCAGTAAAAAATCACACTGAATGAGTTCTATCAAACAATACGGTCTATGTCGCCAGGCGATGATCATTGCCTTTTGCTTTGTGGTGCTTGGGCCCCCCGAGTCCGTCTTCGACGAAGATTGCATATTCAAAGATGATTCTTGAACATTGCTGATAACTTACACAAGTCTACTATTCATTGAGCATCATGGTTCTTCTTGCAGCTGTACAAACCAGTCTGAGCATTTCTGCATGGTTGAAGACTGGTGACAGTAACACGAATCATTTGAGTCCCGTTGGCAGTCTACAAGGTCGACTGCAAGCCCTTGTAGAGTATTCACCACAGCATGTTCGAGCATCACATTGGCGTTGGCTCAGCTGGCGATCTGCTTTGATGTAGCTTTCGAAGAGGTCTGTTGACCTTCGGTCTTCACGCGCGCTCTCGTTGCAGCGAAATCCCTCGTACTGCCATGGCGCATAGACTTGCTTTCCTCCTGGTTGTTTCTGTTGGTGCTGAGGCCCTTTGTCTCAAGTATTTGTTGCAGGTAATCCACTGCCTATATCTGCCTATTGGGAACAGACTGCATTCAAGATTCTCATTGTTACTCTGTTTTCGGGAGTAAGCAATTTCCTATTCTGGAATTCAGGTGTTGGACAATCATGGTACTATTATTTACTGTAGCTGTGCAGGAGTTGTGTCTGTGTCAAGCTAATTATATAGTGATGAAAAATGATGAAACAACATTAAGTGAATGACTGTTCAGCTCGATCAACAGTGCGGGGTTGCTATTGGGGACTTTAGCACTCTTCTGAAAGTCCTTCCAATCTCTATGCACAGTAGTTTGAATTTACTAATACTAATGTTACTAATGCTTTTCTTGAACCGCATTAACGTCCTGAGTCTCGAGATTGCTGTCTCATCTCATCTACAGCTGCTGTTGTTTTACTTGCGTTGTTGTACAATGTGGACTGAGAAAGATGATTGAAACCCAAACCATCCCAAAACGTACAATTCAGGAAGAAGCTCGAAGCGGCCCTAGACCCAGTAGGATAGACCATTCGGGTCAAGCACTTAGCAAAAACATGCCAAAACCATCAAAAACGATCAAAACCCCACAAACACACTCCGCAGCGCTTCCTAAATGTCATTTGCTGTCCTTAAAACAACACCTTTTTGGTGGTTTTACCTGCGATTGGGGAGCCCTGCAGCCTGGTGCTGCATACCAAAGATACCAAAGTTGTTGGGTCTGCCGTGGAGGTGCTTGAGATCAACTCGTGGACACCTGATGCAGCCATCCTGCCAGCCTCAAGGCAGGGGATGCTCAGGTGAAATGGATGAGGTTGGAACTGGTTGGACAAGGGAAATGAGCAGCCCATGCAGGTTGCAAAGTCTAGTGTTGATGGAAACTTATTGTAGCCCTGATTTAGGGTATGTAAATGTATGTAATCTGATGTAATCTTGACATATCTTGACTGCCTTTTGTTCCTTGGATGATGAGATGCCGATGCCGATGCATTTTGTTCTGTCAGATTGATGATCAAATATGATCAAATATGATCAATAAATTAGTGGCAGAGTACGGCAGACTTTGATCATATGGTGAAACTGGTGAAATTCTGCAGGCACACGGCCACGTTGAACAGCCTTCTCTTTAGTGGCAATGCTCGAACAACCCTGGGAGGTGCAGACTGCAGACGTTGACCTTGTGACGTTGAGTTGCAGTTGTCCCCCCCTTCAGTGAAACCTTCAATATCTTTCACTCTCAAGGTTTGGACCTGTAATGATGAGAGTAATAATATGTAATAATAAATATTGACTCACTGACATGAATACATTATGATTCTTAATTTGTTTGCACTTGTTTTGTTTTTCATGTTTGAACTGTTGTCACAATATTTTGCTGCATTTGGTTATGTTGCTCAGTGGCCATCTGAAATCCACACTGCAGGGGGCGCGGAGCAGTGGATGGTGGCGTTCTGTGCCTCTTGGTGGGAGCCTTGCGAAGAACTTCACGTGATTTTTGAACAGTTCCCAGCTCAGCAGTTCCTAGAATTGATTGTGACAATCATTAGATTCAATATCATTATAACTATTTTCAAGCTTTTGCGCACCAATCTGTTTCGAAGCTGCCTTAAAACGCTCGAAAACAATTGTGTGATGGATGCAGTGCTTTCGCCGTTTTGTCATCTCTTGTCAAAAGGTTTGCCACCTTAAACTGTCGCAACATGCAACAACTATTTCAAGTGGACAGCGCAGAACCAGTGTGTTGGCCAATGAGTAAGTCCTCAAATCAAACTGGCCAGTCTTTATTAAACTCCAGTCAATTTTTCCTGAGACTCAGGCTGGCAGCAAAGTGGCAGGGCAAGTTGAACACTCAGGACAGGGTCTCAGCAACAAAACCAGCGACACGGGTGGAATCAAGTTTTCTTATAATGAGAAAGCAATTTAATAATATAATCTGCAAAGAGCCATCAAAGAGTCTACATACAAAATTCTGGTCAACTTGTTCGCAGACAGAAACAAATTGGCTTTGGGCCATTTGTCCTTCCAATTGGTTGCAAGTTCTGGGAATGGTTTGACTATGATTGATAGATATTGATAGTTTGTTCGTCGCAACATGTCGCAACCTTGCAGAAGGCACAATGGCACAACCATCAAATTTGCTCATTTGGTTCAACTGTACTGATTTCATCTGATTTCAGACCTGCGGGGTTCCTGCTTAATGGAGAAAACATGGCAAGGGAACCCGTGAGAGCGTGCAATTGTCAGCAGTCTTTTAGCCACCTCAGTGCTTCCATGCTTCCTCTCATTGACACCTAGACCTAGCTGCGTAGCTCATTCAGTAGCTTGCTTTTTGGATACGTTTGGACAAAATTTGAGGATGCGCTCTTGTTGGGATGACAGGCACTGGATACTGTAGGCAAGCGTGCTTCCATGTGCTTCCACTTTCGACACAAGATGATACCTTC